GACGGGCCGTCAATTCCAAAAATAAATTTCTATGATCTTATCAAAGCTCCAAGAGTAAGCAATAGTTCCAATTTGAAATTGAGAATACTTATCGACACCAATGGCATCGAAATGTATGCCGATGATGGACTAACAAGTATGAGTGCTATTTTCTTCTCTGAAGATGGCATTGCATCTAAAATGAGCGTTCAAGTTCACTCGCCCACAAATTCGTCTATGATTCAGTTGAAAAAACTGAATGTGTATGAGATGAAAAGCATTTGGCACAATGAAAACAAAAAATGAGGTTGTTAGACGCAAACGTCAATGCCTCTATTATTAATTGCTTCGGTTGTTGCTATCTTTTTGAAGTGGCAATAGTAATAATACGAATTTTTAAATGTTAATATTTTGCCGTTTGCTCGTCACCACAAGAAATAATAATAAACTTTAACACACTTTATTTGATCAATAAATCACAAAAAAAAAATTGATTTGGATAATCCTCTGAAATTATGAACAAAAATACTGATGAAAATATCCATCTGGTATTACTAGGCATCGCCGTCATATGTGACGAAGAAATTAAAATGATTGATAATCGGACGATTCCATATGATTAAACAAAACGAAATTGGATGATTTCGTCACGTGATCATTTCATTCTTCATTTTTTTTTTGACAGATACTAGTACCCAAAGAACCTATTATAATCTTTTTTTTTATTCGTCCATTTTTTGAATAACCAAATCAGTTATACCATTTCGTTGGGATGGTACCAAAAATGTAATTTAAATTATGCCAGAGAATGCAAGCGTAGTAAGTATACCATGGTTGTCAATTAATCGGAATAAAAAAAAATTGAATGTGGAAATACAACGACAAGAACAACAAATACAACGCTGTATATTGAACCTCAACGATAGCGATGTTTTTTTCTCAATTTATTTTAGTGAGTTTGAAAATGATGACTAGTATTTATAAAGAGCGAATAGATACAAATAATTGAGAAAAACAGCATTATATTAAGATATTTTCAGCCAGATATCGTCAGGAGCTGAAATTGAGTGAAAAAAATAGAAGTGATTGTTATGGCTACACTTACTATACATTGCTACAATCACTTTTATTGTTTTCACTCCATTTCAGCTCCTTACGATATGTGGCTGAGCTGATTCATCTGGCTGAAATTATCTCAATATAAAGTCTGGACAAAAAAATGTTGGCACTGATTCATACTACGTTCAAGGGTACAAATCGCATTGATATAAAATATTCCATGATACGAGTAGATTGTCATCTCTTATAACATAATTGCAAAAATATATATATATTTGATTTACTACTTGTTACTACCGCATTTGATAATGCATCTTTCCCCTCGAATAAGAAAAGAAAAAACAATGATAACATATGAATGACCTGATATGACAATGTGATGAATTCAGTCAGTGAAAGTATGTCAAACAGTATGTATGATCTTTCACAAATCACATCGATACCAGAGTGAAGAACAAATGAAGGTGATATTATTATACCGATAAGAATGAATTTTGAATAAAGTCACCGTTTTGAATGCATGACATGATTTAGTCAATATTCATCTCCTTTTACAATCGCATTATATTGGACTTTTGCTAAAAAAATATTTATTCAAATTTTAATTTCATTGAAAGTTTTTAATTTTTTTCGTGTTCAATTCAACAATTAAAATATACATTTTCGATTTCAAATAATTTTCGTCGAACCGTTTAATGCGAATTATTGTTTTTTTTTTATATATATACAGTGAATCTAATTTTTTTGATAGACAAAATAACAAGCAAAGTAAGCAGAGAAACTCTCCACTAACATAGGATTCATATACGAATGGCGTGTGAGTGGAGTATGTCATGCAAAATTTTGTCTACCAAAAATATTAGATTCACTGTATATATTTTTTATTGAATGTTTGTTTCAATTTCAGCAACGCAGAAGCGTGTAATTGATTAAATATTTAAATGATGCAGACTTTCGTTTGTGTGGCATTATTATGCGTTGCAGCGAGTGCATATCCATCTGATGATAGTGTAAAAAATAAAGCCGACAGCGATAGACCCAAATTGGATTGGTGGGAAAATGGTGTGTTTTATCAAATTTATCCGCGGTCGTTTAAAGACAGTGACGGCGATGGTATTGGGGATATTCGTGGTATCATTCAAGGATTGGATTACTTGCAAGAATTGGGCATTGACTGCGCTTGGCTATCGCCGATTTTTAAAGTGAGAAATGGAAAAGTTTTTACTGTAAAAAGCTATTTGTACATTATTATTTTTTAAACAGAGCCCTATGGTAGATTTTGGTTATGATATTGAAGATTTCTATGCAATCGATCCAATGTTTGGGACTATCGAAGATTTAGAAGAGCTATTCGTTGAGGCCAAAAAGCGAAATATTAAAATTATTTTGGATTTCGTGCCAAATCACACTTCCGATAAATGTGAATGGTTTAAAAAGTCAGTGAAACGTGAACCTGGTTACGAAAACTTTTACATTTGGGCCGATGGAAAAAACAATAACAAAGATCCACCAAATAACTGGTTGTCTATGTTCTATGGTACCGCATGGACATTCAATGAAGAGCGAAACCAGTGGTTCTATCATGCGTTTGGTAACTTTCACAATAAATTTACCTTAGAAAATGATTTCAAATACAAAATTGATTTTCGATGATTTTATAGCAAAAGAACAACCCGAACTAAATTTCCGGAATGAAGCTGTAGTTGAACGGATGATTGATGTTTTAAAATTTTGGCTTGACAAGGGTGCTGATGGTTTTCGTATTGATGCACCCAACTTTTTGTATGAAGACAAAGATTTGCGCGACGAACCGTTGAGTAATTTTACAACTGATCCTAACAATCTTTTCTACTTGACACATGAAAACACACAAAGTTTGGATGAAGTGTATGACATGTTGCATAAATTCCGCAAAACTCTTAAAACGTTCGAAAGTAAAAATAAAGATCAACTCATTTTGATGACTGAAGCTTATGTGAACGCCACCGAATATGTAAAATATTTTGGAAGTGATAAAAGAATGGGAGTGCACATTCCATTCAACTTTGTTCTGATTGAAGACATGCACAGAAAGTCAACGCCTGAAGATATTAAAAATATTATCGATAAAAGAATAGCAAGTGTACCAGCGGGCACCAGACTTAATTGGGTCATGGGCAACCATGATCGTCCACGTATTAGTTCTCGATATGGCGAACAAAGAATCGATGGTTCTTTAACTTTGGTTATGACATTACCAGGCATTGCTTGTACATATTATGGCGAAGAAATCGGAATGGTTGATAATCGAACGATTTCATATAATGAAACGTTGGATCCACAGGCATGCAATTTCAAACCAAATGCAACAAATTGGATGGACCAGTCACGTGATCCACAGCGTAACAGATGTGTATATTTTTTAATCGTTTCCAGTTGAATGACGTTTGATTTCCATTTCAGGTACGCCATTTCAATGGGATGGTACAAAAAAATTTGCTGGTTTTATGCCAGAGAATGCAACCAGTAAACCATGGTTGCCAATCAACCAGAACTATAAAGAGTTGAACGTGGAAATACAACGGAAAATACCACGCAGTACATTGAACTTCTACAAACAATTGATACAAATTCGTAAGAGAGACACGTTTGCATACGGTTCATACACCTCGCAAGTTTTCAACGAAAATGTTTTCGCATACGTAAGGTAAAGAAATAAGAAACAGATTTGGCAAAGAAATACGATAACAATGTTTCATTTTGTGTCACTTGATTGCAGAGAGCTTGAAAATGACGACACTTATTGGGTTCTTATCAATTTTCGAAACAACGAAGAGCGAATAGATTTAACTACAAGTAGTCTTGGGAAAAATATGCCAGAAGAATTTGAGCTTGCTCTTGTTGGAACTAATTCACACTACGTCGAAGGGCAAGTTTCTAAATCGCATTGATTTTAAATATTCAGAAAAAGCATAATTGTCATGTTAGATTGTCATCTATTCCATTTCATTCATATTTCTCTTTTGAGCTGTATACTAATTGTTTTTTTTTTACACTTGCAGAGCAAACGTGAATGCGAATGAAATTGTTTTGAGGAGATATGATGTAATCATTTTGAAAGAAGCTTCATCATAAATATCGCAATATGAAATGTTGGACGTGTGCAATAATTGCTCCTTTCGATTCCTAAAATTCAAACGATTTTTATAAAAAAGTTCGGTTATAAAATCAGTCGGTCAAGGAATGTTTGAAATTATTATCGATATTTACTTATAGGAATATAAATAAGTTTTACACCTTTCATGTTAAGTCCAAATTTAAATGTAAACGTGAATATCAATCATTAAATAAATAAATAAAGCACAATTTTCAAAAAAACATACATTTTCTACTTGTTACCGTATTTGATAAGTGGCATTTATATCATTATTTATTTTTATATATTCATCTTTTTCATCGAATGGAGAAAGTAACAACAACGATAAGCCAGTGATTAGGATCTTTCTATTGATATAGTGTGATACTAACTCTTGGCGGCGAATGTAGACGTATCCAAAGTACCGAAATAGAACCTTATATTTGTCGCCAAAAATAAAAAAGACAAATTAGTCACAAAATTAAAATGTACTAATAATACATTATTCATATCGTGCTATCAATAGTATCAACTATATCAATAGCCTCACCACGTATGAATGACGTATGATAACGATGAATGACCTGACATAACAATGTGATGAATTCAAACAGACAAATTATGTCAGTTATAATCCACATTGAAACTGACATCAAAATCTCTATCTTTCATTTTAAAAATATGTACATGATTAAAGAACGATTTTTAATTTTTGTCGTGTTCAATTTAACAATTAAATATTCAACAATTTCGATTTCAAATAATGTTATTTCATTGAACCGTTTAATGCGAATTATTGTTCTTTTTTAAATATTTTTTATTGAATGTTTGTTTCAATTTCAGCAGCGTGGAAGCGTGTAATTGATTAAATATTTAAATGATGCAGACTTTCAAAATCGTCTGTTTGGCATTATTATGCGTTGTACAGAGAGTCTTACAACACCACCACCTTGCCTTGACCAAGGCTTGCACGTAAGTCATACAGCATTTTTGTATCGATCCAAGTCTTTTTTTATCAATTCTAAAACTTTCCAAAATGATAACAGTACATCAAAGTTATTTGCTTGACGTAAATATTAGCAACAAAGTTAGCTGACCTTTATAATTATTAAATACTATCTGATAAACACTCGACATATTTGTTTCCGCCCCAAAATTGATGTCACTAGTTTATTTCCATTACTTTTGAGCGTAAATCTAATGGAAATATTTGAATGAAATATCAAACACTTGAGAAAATTTACAATCTCATTGTTATGTCAAAATATCAGAAGGGCCATCTGATCATTGAATTTGAAAATGAATCGCGCATAAAAGGGGCAAAATTGAGGTGCTATTCCAACAGTTAACAATTGATCTTCAATCGCAACAATTTATACTCGGTTATTCAAGAAGGTGAATTTATTATAACAACAACAATTATACTGAAATCGTACTAAACAACTCAAACACGACGAAATGTTTCGAATCGACATTTTTCTTATTGTGTTTTGGATGGTTTCGATTTCCAGTGCGGTTTATGATGAAGTATATCGACCTCAATTACATTATTCCCCTCCAAAAGGATGGTTAAGCGATCCAAATGGTTTAGTCTATGAAAATGGAATATATCATCTCTTCTTTCAACATCATCCGAATTCAACAAGTGACATATGTAAGAATTAATCATTTGCAGTGTTTGAAATCTTTTTATATAATCGATTTATGCAATTTAGTACCTTTTTTACAATTAATACTAAATAATCACTATGAAAAATAGCGCACACACATTGGGGTCATGCAATATCTTCGGATTTGATTCATTGGAAACCACTCGACACGGCACTTTATCCTCCAAGCAGAGACATTGTTATGTTTTCTGGTGGCGCAATCTTTGACCACAACAATGTCACTGGGCTACAAACTAACCCCAATGTACCGACAATGATCTTGACGCCCACCGCAGCTCAATGGTCGTCACGTCATCAAGATATATGGTTGGCGTACAGCAACGATGGTCCTGAATACGTTAATTTTCAATACTATGAGAGAAATCCAATAATTCCTGGGCCGAGAAATACCGAAATAGTAACAGCCAACAGAGACCCGACAGTTTTCAAGTACCATGATTATTATGTTGCAATATCGGCTTCATATAATCGCACCAAGTTCTTTAATTCGCGTAATTTATTGGACTGGGAGCTTGTGAGTGAATTTGGAGATACCGATGGAGCACATGGTGGGAGATGGGAATGTCCTTCACTTTTACCTTTTAATGTCACGATCAATGGAAAACAAGTTGAAAAATATGTTTTGATAATTACTCTGACCGACTTTCAACTTCCTGCGCACCAGTACTTCATAGGCTCCTACGATGGTAAAAAATTTACAAATGAAAACTCAAAAGACACAATATTACGGCTGGATCATGGACCAGATACTATGGCTGGCATTACATACAATAACTTGCCAGACGGTCGACATGTTCTTATTAATTGGATGGGACGATGGGAATATGCTGGAAATACGAATTTCAGCGCTTGGAATGGACAAATAGGCATTCCTAGAGAATTAAAGTTGGTAACAGTGAATGATCAAATTCGGCTTACATCATTGCCAATTCATGAAATGGAATCATTGAGAATCAATCCAGTTCACAAGCAAAACATTAGTATCACGAATGAGTTCACATATAAAATCGCCGACAGTGAAAAGAAGAAACATTTGGCTGATATTGAAATGACGTTGGATCTGAAGAAACTTAAAAGCGGCGAAGCATTCGATATTGTGTTTTCGGGAAAAGATGACGAATTGAAGATTTCCTTTAAAGACAATGAATTTATTTTGGACCGATCACGTGCAGGAAGAATGGTTCCGATTTTCGATAATTCAACATTGGTAAACGGCAATTTTGATAATCCATTCGACGGGCCGTCAATTCCAAAAATAAATTTCTATGATCTTATCAAAGC